GTTTTCGCCAATGTTGACGGGATGGTGAAGCTTTTGCCAATTGTGGGGAACTTTCGCTAACTTTCAAAAATAATCAGGTCCTCCTACAATGCATATTATCACGCTTGAAATCGATTGAGAAGTCAATCGTATGAATAGTTATACTGATTGTGAACCAATTACCTTGAATATACTACTTGTTTCATGTTTAAATCTTCGTTTTAATTTATTGAAATCTTATTATCTAAGTTTCTAGTATATTTTACCTCAAGAAAAATAAGTTATTCCTTATTTCCTTTCATGATGCTGAACAAAATCGCATTCTTCGTCTTGCTAGGCAATTGGCCTCGAGTCTTGTTAGACTCCCACTGTGGAGGGATTATTTATTTCTTAATTCTGATTTTCATTTTATATAATTCTATAAATAATCTTGTACAATTTGTTGCCATACACACAAAGGAACCAATGCAGGATGTTACATTTATATATACCTTAGCTAGGGATGTCAACGAATCGAGCCGGCTATCGAAGTTCGAGCTCGACTCAAGTAAAAATGATTCGGGAGTTTTTTTTTTTTGTCCGAGCTGACCCGAGCTTCTGCTCGGCCAAAATATCTAGTTTTTTTTTTTTTAGCTGCCTTATAATTTTATTTTATTTTTTAGTTTTGCTGATTTTATTTATTTAGTTATTTGTAAAATTTTTTTAGGCTCAACTCGGTTCGTTACGGGCCGAAAATGGCCGGTGTGGCTCGTCGAGCCACATAGGCTGGCTCGAGCTTTTCCCGGGCAGATCCATGAGCCGCCCAAGCCGCGAGAGCAAAATTGACACCCTTAAACTTAGCTTTGTGATGAAGTAAAATCGTGATGAAAATTTCGCATCTATTTACGCCTTTTGTTATCGAAAGATGGATAAATTCTAATTTCACTCCTATAATCAATTTAACAGTGTTACTCGATACTCATGTGTTCTTTAGGCAAATTCAACATTAATTTGACCTTTGTACCTTCCTCTAATACTCGAGCTCGCTAACACTCTCATTTTACAGGTCTTTCCATAAGAAAAATTCAAAATAATGCTTCAGCGACTATTTTTTTATTAAAAGTAAATTTGACTTAATTTTAAGCTAGCCAAACTCGCCCTTTTTGATCGAATGATGCAATTCATTAGGTTCGTCCTAAATTTGTGCACTGCTAACATTAAATAATGAATACAGACGTGAGATGGCCATTAGCCACCCTTCAACATCTCCCCATTATGAAATTTATACTCACTGGACAGATTAATTAATCAAGTTGGTGGGTAATAAAAATGTTAGAACAAATCATAAGCAATATGGGTTGTTTCCAGGTGGGCTGACCAAACTTTTTTAATAATTTTTTTTTATTTTTTTGTTCAATTAGATAAGCACGATCTAATAATAAATAGCCTCTTTGCTCGAAGCAACCTATCAACAGTTTAGTGGGGAACAGCAAATTTGGCCTCGTCCCTTCCCTCCTTGTTTGATCGAACAATTAATCAATTACTAAAGTTTCATAAACAAAAGAATTAAGATAATTTATATTAGTTCGTGTTCTAAGTATTTGTATACTAAATTTTCTTTGTAATTAGAAAAAGAATAAACTATAAAAATTATTATTTTAACCAATGACTCCAACCCAGGGTAGACCCAGAAAATTTTTCCAGTGCGGGCGGTATTAGTAAAAGTAAAAAAAAAATTATAACACAAACATTAGACTAAAATGAAATATCTTACAATTGTTCTTTACGAGTTTTCATACTTTGATATCTTTGTACAATCGTCTCATTATCAATATTTAAGAATATATCTTTCTCCACATAAATAATAAGGCTATCATTCATCCACTCATCTCCAATTCGATTGCACAATCTGTTCTTCACAATGTTCATGGCAGAAAATACCATCTTTACTGTAGCAGTAGCAACCGGAAGAATTTGTGCCAAAGTCGAAAGCTTGTAAACCATTGGATATGATCTGCTCTTGTCAAAACTAACTTATGTGCGAGAAATTGAAACCATTCAATTCTTCAAACTCTTTCCTAGAGAGGACATCAAAAATGTAATTATCAAGTTGATCATCAAGTGTGACGAGATCTACTTCTGAAAAATCTTGGTGATAAAACTTTGCAAGTTGAATCAACTTTCTTTTATCAAAAGCAAAGAATGAATTTTGTGGACATAGGCAAGCTACACAAAGGAGTAATTTAGTATTTACCTCCGAAAAATGATCATTCAATTCTTGAAATTGCATATCTATGACAAAATAGAATAAATCGACCGAAAGTGATGCAAGTTGGTCATTTGTAGAAGATTACGATGAGGGCGACCACCATGTGCAGAACGCATAAACATAGCATCCATGTTTGGAACATCAATATAATGATGCTCACAAAAAGAAGAAACATGTTGCAAGAAACGACTGACAATGACCCTTTTGCAATATGTTCTTCGAACTTGATCTCTAATGTTTGAATTGTAATTCAAGATTGGAGTTCTTAATTCAGGATCAGTGTAAAGTTGTGCAACATCAAAATCTTCTCCATTTGAAGTCTCATCATTAACATTTTCCGCAATCTCAAGAGCTTTTCTTTTATAAAATCTTTACATGACTGACTGTAATAAATAGGAATTGGAATTTGGAATGTAAATAAACAAAATAAAATATGGAATATATAGCAACACAATTACCTATTGTCTATTGACTGGTTATTGGTTATTATTCATATTTCTTATTTCCTTCCTTCCCTATAGTGCAATGGTGACTTGGTTTCAAAATTTTATCCAAACAAAAAGCCACAGCCACTGGCAACAGAATTTTCCCCCTCCCAGCCACTGCCCACTGGTTCAAAATTTTCCCCAACAATCGGCAACCAAAGCAACATTCCTCAACAGCAACAATAGCAGATGAAATTTATAGCAATAGCCAACCTCCCATTGCATATACAGATACCCAATAGCATTATAGCAGATGGAATTTATAGCACAATAGAAATTATAGAAAACTTACATACGCTGGATGCTGGGTGCCTCGGCCTAGTTCCGAGACTCAGGGGATGTGCGTGGATGGATGCAGGGGCCGGCGACCAGCGTGGATGTAGCTTGCAGGGGCGTGCGACGTGCATATTCTCTGTTGATGCAGGGGCGTGCGTTGCATTCTCTGTTGAATGAAAGGAGCAGGGCTTCTATCATACTTTTTGGGCCAAATAATTGGCCCAGTTTTTTTTTTTTTTTTAATTATTGGGTTGATGAAAATTTTGGGGCAGCGCAAAGCCCTTTTTTTTTTTTTTTTAAGTATTGGGTTGATGAAAATTTTGGGGCAGCGCAAAGCCCAGAGCAGGCATCTGCTTGCACTGGACCTGGGTTGGGTCCGCCCCTGACTCCAACTTTCTTCATTTTTAGGATATCTTATCATTTTCGAAAAATAAGGTTAAACTTCTAGAATGGAGTGGAGTGTCAATATTTTTCTTTATTTTTTGTGATTCTAGTTACAGTGAATGAGCATTGCGCGTTATTTTGAGATTTTTTAACGTTCATATTTTGAATGTTGGATCAACACTAACGAATGATTATCTTATTATTTTCATATAAATTTCCTGTAATATAACATAAACAACAAAATTTAATTTAATGAAACTAATTCCAAGTTCAAATTCTATCCATATCCCTAACTTTGACAAAGAATAATATCATTTATGAAATAATAAGACTTGTTAACAACAAATAAAATGTATTTTTCCATTGAATGGTGAAGAGGAAAATAATATTTTCACTTGCATGCACGCCACTACTCACACAAGATCAACTATGCAATAATCAGAGTTTCGATATACGTTAGCCATTTTATGCTTATCAACTAATGGTTGCAATTTCTTGCAATTCAAAACTAGATGAATTATTCATTTTTGCAAGTAAGAGCATATATGATTCAGCTGAAATTCAGCTTTCTAACAAAAGTTGATAGTTTCAAATTCGAAAATACCATTAAAATATTGTTAGGATGAGCCCACCATTTATTCAACCATCTTTGATCAAAATGACCAAATTATTCACTTCAATCGTCCTTCATGTGAAAGTGCGATAGGTGAAAATGCACATTCACATAAATTACACAACCCTGCCCAATAATATATTGAGGGCATATCGGTTATTTGATGCATTGATCTAATTAAAATAACTAGATCACACTAGACACAATCCATTTCGTAAGTCTCATGTTCTAAAATTAATTGAAACGAATGATTCATGTCATGTTTGATCTTTTCAGTGTCTAAACAAATAAATCTTTATCGACTCGATCAAATTGGACCGTACCTTATCCGTCTCATGTGCTATCGATGAGCTCCTTTTCCACAAAATAAGCGTACCAAGTTAAAATTATATAGTAAATATACCTTTAAATTTTCTTGTACATAATAAAAGGTGTAGAAGCAAGAAAAAGAGATACGAAGGTCCCGCGAGCATGAATTATTGAAGAAACTGAAAGATCTTCACTCTGCTCCCCTAATTTGGACCCACGTCAAGATACATTATCATTTCTCAGTCAATTAAAAAAAAAAAGTTACCTATTTACTTATAAGGAACGTCTAAGCTAAGCCAAACACGGCAGTGTGAGTAGTATAGGCGTACTCATATAACCAAAGCCGAGAAACAGAAGGGTGAGGTCGAGCCACAGAGAGAGGCGCAATCATCGTAGAATTGTATTAGTCCGTTATGTTTGATCCGAATGCCAAGGATTGAAACCTATGAAAAAAATTCCTTTTTTTTTCCTGTGTCTTTTGTCCTTGTAATTATCACCAATTGTCTTCTAAAGAAAATACAGAACAGCCCATTGCAAGCCATTCTTGAATTTGCATGCAGGCTGCAGCATTGATAAAATCAAGGTTTGTCATAATTGAATGCTTTTCTCTTTGTATTTCTTGTTTATGCACTCTTTCTTTTGCCTTCCTGGAAAATTTGAAATATGGGTCTGTGTGGAAATCTGGTTATGAGATAATGCACTGAATATGGATTTTGATTCAAGAAAAATAGTCTTTATTGTTAATGTGGTGGTAGTGGTGGTGGTGGAGTCTTGCCTTTTGGGAAGTGTTAGTGGTGCGACAAATCAAAATGATTTCAAGATTCTGAATAATTTTAGAAACGGGTTAAAAAATTCACAGCTCTTGAAATGGCCTGCTGGAGGGAATGATCCATGCGGCCCTCCTTCATGGCCTCATGTGTTCTGTCAAAACGGCAGAGTAACACAGATTCAGGTTAAGGGGCTTGGTCTACAGGGACCTTTGCCTCAGAATTTTAATCAGTTGGATAAGCTTCAGAATCTTGGACTTCAGAACAACAAACTCAGTGGAGATTTGCCTACTTTTAGTGGTTTATCCAATCTTCAATTTGCATACTTGGATTATAATCAATTCGATTCAATCCCTGCTGATTTCTTCGATGGGCTTAGTAATGTTCGCGTTTTGGCTTTGGATAATAATCCCTTTAACCAGAGCAGTGGATGGTCCATACCTAGTGATCTAGTGGAATCTTCGCAGTTGGTGAATTTTTCTTGTTCAAGTTGTAATATAGTTGGGCCAGTTCCTGATTTTTTTGGGAAGTTGTCATCACTTACTTTGTTAAGATTGTCCTATAATAAGTTAACTGGTGGCATCCCGCAGACATTTCAGGGCTCAATGTTGCAGGTTCTGTGGTTAAATAATCAAGATGGGGGCGGTATGACTGATTCAATTGATGTCATTGGGTCTATGGTTGGTCTAACTCAGGTATGGCTGCATGGAAATCAATTTACAGGGTCGATTCCACATAATATTGGGGATTTAACTTCCTTAAGAGAACTCAAACTCAGTAGAAATCAACTAGTTGGTATGATTCCCCCAAGTTTGGCCAATATGAATCTTCAATTATTGGATTTGAGCAATAACATGTTTATGGGCCCAATACCAAAGTTCAAAGCAGCAAATGTTAGCTACCAATCAAATTCATTCTGTCAATCTGATCCTGGTGAGCAATGTGCCCCTGAAGTTACAGCACTTTTGGACTTTCTTCAAGATGTGAATTATCATGGAAAACTTGCTTCTCAGTGGAATGGTAATGATCCTTGTAGGGGACCCTGGTGGGGGATTACCTGCAATCCGACGAACCGTGTTTCTATCATAAATTTGCCGAAGCTTGGGCTTAATGGTACGCTTAGTCCTTCACTTGTGAATTTACAGTCATTGCTTGAAATTCACTTAGGAGGAAACAATCTAGATGGCATGATTCCTGTAAATTTAACTTTGTTGAGATTGCTAAGATTGCTGGATATAAGTGGGAACGATTTTGAGCCACCATTACCGAGATTCGGCAATGGTGTGAAGTTAATCACTAATGGTAACCCAAAATTAACTGGTAGTTCACCTAAAGGATCCCCTAAACCATCTGATTCACCGGTTCCCCCTTCTTCAAGTCCTGAATTGCCATCAAACACTTCTTTACCCCCAGTCCCTACTGATGAATTACCACCATCATCACCACCCCGAAATTCTAAACACTTCAAACTACTTGTCATTGTGGTTATAGCTGTAGGTGCTACAGTTTTTACTTTTCTCGGACTTCTTCTGGCCGTCTATTGCATTAGGAAGAGAGAAGAGAAGAAAATGGTTGCTGGTGACTTCGTAATGCATCCTAAAGACTCATCGGATCCTGGTAATACAGTGAAGATTTCAGTAGCAGATAACTCTTCCTTAGAGGCTCAAAATGGTACGACTGCAGCTAGTGGGACTAGTGGTGGATTGGCAAGTTCCCACGTGATTGAGTCTGAAAACTTGGTCATTTCAGTTCAAGTCCTTCGCAAGGTGACCAATAATTTCACACAAGAAAATGAGCTTGGACGTGGAGGTTTTGGATCAGTTTACAAGGGAGAATTTGAAAATGGAACAAAAATAGCTGTTAAGAGAATGCAAGCAGGGATAATTAGTAACAAAGCATTGGATGAATTCCAATCAGAAATTGCTGTGCTTTCTAGTGTCCGCCACCGGAATCTTGTATCCCTTTTGGGGTACTCAGTTGAAGAAAATGAAAGGCTTCTGGTTTATGAATATATGCCTCAGGGAGCTCTGAGTAGGCATCTTTTTCGTTGGAAGAGTCTGAATTTAGAACCTTTGTCTTGGACAAGAAGGCTTAAAATTGCTATTGATGTAGCAAGAGGGGTAGAATATCTTCATACTTTAGCGCGCCAGAGCTTTATACACCGAGATCTCAAATCATCAAACATTCTTTTGGATGATGATTTTCGGGCAAAAGTTGCAGATTTTGGATTAGTGAAATTGGCTCCTGACAAAGAGAGGTCTTTTGCAACCAGGTTGGCTGGGACGTTTGGATATCTTGCACCTGAATATGCTGGTAGGAAAATATTCTTTAATTATCTGATACGGCTAATGCTTGATGGTACTACTGTTTATTATTTCATATGAACCCCTTTGATTCTCATTATTGTAGAATGAGAATGAAAAATATAGTCGTTATTGAGCCTACACAAGAAATTGGAAATTAAAAATTGATGGCTCGATGTGATGGATAACAGTTATATTTTTCATTTTTATGGATGAAAAATGAGAATCAAACGGGCTCTATATGTGTTTTTGGCACCGGAACTAGGAATTTAATGTCGTTACTCATTCATGCTTTCTGCATAATTTATGATATGATTAATATCAATTTATTTAATTTATTGATGTTTTCTGCCTTTTCATTTTGCCTCCTGCTCCATCCCTGCTGATTCATATTTCTGTTTTTTTAGTGACGGGCAAAATTACAACCAAGGTTGACGTCTTCAGTTTTGGAGTGATATTGATGGAACTTTTGACGGGTTTAGTGGCACTTGATGAGCAACGTCCTGAGGAAAGCAGATACTTGGCCGAGTGGTTCTGGCAGAGAAAATCAAACAAAGAGAGTCTTATAGCTTCCATCGATCCTGCCATTGATGCGAAAGAAGACATTTATGAAAGTATTTACATCATAGCTGAACTGGCTGGACATTGCACTGCTCGCGACCCAAATCATCGTCCTGACATGGGACATGTTGTGAATGTGTTGGCTCCACTGATTGGTAAATGGAAACCAGTTGAAGAAACAGATCAGTGTTCTGATTTCACCATCGCTTTACCCCTCCCACAAATGTTGAAGGGCTGGCAAGAAGAACCTGCTACTCTAGATTTTAGTGGTAGTCAAGATAGCAAAGGAAGCATTCCTTCTAAGCCATCAGGTTTTGCAGATTCATTCACTTCTGCTGATGCTCGCTAAGTGAAAGTCTTTCCATAAAAATGCATGTTGCCTTTACCTGCTAAATTGCTTGTGTACTTTATATATCAGTTTATGCTAATTTGTGCATTAGCGAAACATTATTGATATTACAACACCCGACAGATTCTTCTGATGTATAATTTCTAGGTCGAATGCAACTCATATTTGAGGAATGCTTAGATACCAAGTCATTGCAAAGGAAGAATACGAGCATTTGGATTTCAAGTGATCCATTATAGGATTGATGAGCATATTTCATGGTTGTTCGTATTATAAGCTGCTGTGATTGTGCAGTTGAAGGGATCAAAATGCCCAGATGTCAAAGTCTGTAGCCTATCGACACCTGAATACTTAGCATTCTGTTATTTTAACATGTTCAACTAAATTCCAAAATCAGACCATGTGGTTTTACTGTGGTTTCGGGTCAATTGTCATTTTGCTGTCAAAAGTATGCCCCCGTTTGACACCCATTTTTTTTCTCATTCTCATTCTCATTTTTTTCTCTTTCTTCATTTCAACCACACATTTTATCAATAAAATAATATTACAATAAACCTAAAAATTCTCCTTACTTTTTAACTACACATTCTTTCATCAATCACTATTCAAAAATACATTTTTTCACAAAAATGGGTGTCAAACACCCCCTATATTTTAACACCATCACAAGTTCAATCTCTTGAGCCTTTACTTGATGCGTATGCAAATATGTGAAGGTAGGCAAAATACTGGTGCAAATACCTGAAAAGATAAACTGCTAATTAACATTCCCTTGAGCATGTACACCCTATCAAATACCATGAACAGCAGGTAACGAAACGGTGCATAATGCCCCCTAAAACGCTCAAAAAGCCTACAAGTACTTACATACAGTAGAAGGTCCTCCATAGATTCCAAGACAAAAAAAAGAAACATAAGAAAAAGGAGCAAAGGACCCAAGTTACTTTACACAAACATATAGATTATATTTAGACCAACTTATGGACTGGCATTTTTTGTTTTTTTTTTCTTTTTCTTTTTGCTGTCTTTTGAACTTAAATAAAATGAGAGAAGAGTTTAGTTTCATGGCGTCCGGGGCTTTGTTGGAGTATGGCCATTATGGTGCAATGGGTCGGGACCGGCCGGAACTCTCCTCAGTTCCCAATCCTCAGACATCTCATTGTAATTTCCCAAGCTTGGAAACATTGCAGCTGGTCCGCCACGCATAAAAAACATCTCCTTCCTGTTCTTGCACTCTGCAAAAGAAATAAAAAAATCAATGAATAAGAAAAGCCCGTCTAATACACTATTGGATGGGACTTGACTTAGAGAAGATAGTGTGGTGGAAATATGTGTGTATTGAGAAGGAAAGAAAGAGACCAGCTGCTTGTAGCATCACCAGTGTAAGAACCAGCAGCACCAGAAAGCATCTGGCTTTATTAATCCCCATTTCAGTTATGAAGTCTCAAAAGAGTAAGTTACAGTTGCAGGTAATAAGTTGAACAAACGAGAGTGAATAAGAACCAATTTATAGGGAAATTTTGACTTAAGGTCTGGCAATTATGATTGCCCAGCAGCCAGTTTTTAGAGATAATAACAGCAGATTTATATGATAAGACACTGTACAAACACCATAAAATGTAAATCTTTTACAGCACAACCCTACTGGATGTATGTCGGCGCCGTTTTAGGTGTGATGACATCACCACCATCAATTCATGCAAAATAAAGTAGATTGAAAATTCAAAGTTTTACTACCAGTTTCTGTTATAAAGAGATTCCATTTTGGTACCATCTATAGAATAGTACAGAGAATACGGATGTGGGCATTTTTCATAGTTGAGGAAAAGAGTATCTTTTGGTTGCAGCATGGAGATATTGAGGATAGTACACCTGAGATTTTGTCAATAGTGGTAATGCTGAGGATACGCTATCATTAATAAATATACATGGAGCTAGCTGTTAGTATCAGATCATGTCCAACTCAAGAGAAGAGACTGATTGATGGTTATGATTATAGAGATACACCATTTACAGGGACTTCTTCCCACTGCTGTAATTGCATGCAGATGCAGGTGAACAGCCTTTAATTTGGGTGGCTCTGACGTGATAAACTCGGGCAACGATGCAAACATTGAAGTAGTTTTCAATAAACATTCATATTACGCTTGGTAAGTCAACTTAGATTGGTTACGGTATGTTTGTCGTGAATTTTTAAAAATATTAAAAGGAGCTTTTAAAATTTAAAAGCTGCTTTTGAATCCATGTGTCTAATTTTATGAAAGTACTTTTTATAGTTAAATAGCCTTAATTTTCCATAGAAAAGGAAAATTTTCTTTTTCCACCCTTAAAAAGCTGTTTGATAGGTAAATTTTTCTATGGAAAACGTTTTCCACCTTTTTCTAGATAGAATCATTTGATGCACAAAAACTTGATTTTGTTTTCTCACCTATTAGGTGGGAAAACATTTTCCACCTTTTTTTTTTATAGCAATGGCAACCAATTCTATCAACTATTGTAAAAAGAATTTTCATTTTTGTTGACAATTTCTATGTAAAACAAAGTCAAACGAATATGGTAATTTTTT